GTGTATTTTTTTATTACAACACATTCAGTTACGCTACTGCATTGGAATGTGACCGACCTGTCATCATGACGTCATTTACAAGAGTTTGACCATTAGCTTCGCAAGTGCCAGTGATGATACGACCTTCATACCCACCCCAGTTACAAATTTACTGTTCGACATTTTGGATAAATAAATACAATGAGTCTCAGATCTAAAAGTTCGTGACGATGGTGAGTTATTTAAATAAAAAGTTCCTTGGATATTTTCCATCGTATAAAATAATAAAATACACAATAAAATTATCTCCGGAGATAAGGATTGGCTCTATCTATTGGGCCCAACAGAGTGGGTACCTGAAGACGGAGATAGAGCCCCATCTCCGAAACGTCGTTTCAATTTTATTGTGTATTTTATTAATTTAGATGATGGAAAATATCCAAGGAACTTTTTATTTAAATACAATGAGAATGGGAGAGAATTTTTACAAAAAGCCAACATTTTTGCATTCGTCTGTCTTGATTTTTTGCTAGTCATGGACGATCCTTCATAATACAGGGTGATTTAAAACTCTGGTGCAATAATTAAGAAGGCTGTTGGGGAGATAATTTGGTACAGAGAAACTATTTTTTTTTAGATTCTTCGCTATTTGAGAGTGACAGACAGTTGAAACACAGTTATCAGACTCGCACAGCAACATCAGTGACATCACCACACGAAAATATCAGTACTCAAAAAGAAGTTATCTAAAATGATTACTGAAGGATGCTACAAAGGGCAGAATTTTTCCCCTTTTTGAAAACAAAGAAATCAACTGACACATTAAATATAATTCTTTAAATTTTGTAAAGATTTATTATCACATTAATTAAAGCGAAATTATCCAAAGAAGTAACTCTGAAACGATAGTTAATCTGAAAAAAAACTTCTAAATACTCCAGATCTCACTAACCTCTTCCTTAATTATTGTACTAAAATTTTGAATCACTCTGTATATATTTCTAATGTTATCGGTCTCTCTGTGAAGGCGATGTCCGTATGTTTCTTTTCAACGTCTGGTACATTCTGACCCGTAGTCGCAGAATTCAGTGACCCAACGTTCTGGTCTGATGACAGAGTGACTAAACACGCTACATTATTTTACTTCATTGAACTTTGCGCAAGCTTCGGTTGGTTTCCGTTGTCTGAACTCTGCCACATAATTAACGGATATACGTGACCATGTACTTAAAAACAATCCACAAATTACGATGACGTATTTATTCCTTAAAAAATATGTTGTGAAAACTTTGGATTGCATGTGACAAACATCTGTCTAGGAGACAAAGTGCACATGTTCTTGGCATAAATTCTGACACTCATTGCTACGTATTAAAACTAATGAGTGTTAGCTAGCTGTAACGTTAAAAACTTGTCTTTTTATGAAGGTACAAGGTTTAAATCTCGACTCTTCTACAAGCTGTTTTGACAGACTGATCGTGGTTTTATCTCACTATCGCCAGACAAAACGCTGAGGTAGGCGTTGTAAATGTTGCCATCGGTGGACTAGTGGTTAGCGTGCTCGCCACTGGACCCAAGTTTCGCGGGTTCAAACCAGGCCGAGGTCGATGGATTATTAAAAATCCGAAGCATACAGCTCTTCATTCGGCGTGGAAGTAAAGCTTTACAGCATGTAAAAGAACCTTACGAGCATGAACGAGGTGTTTCGTAAACAAAATTCAGCGGGCATTTCTCACCCATGTGTCTCCTGATTCTGTACTAGATGGCTCTAGCATAAGGGTTCTCACCCTTTTTCGCTGGCGTAACACATATTCTGATTTAACACATTAATGTACCACTATCCAAATGCGTTCAGGGAAAACTTATTTATGTTAATAATATCTTTTTATTTTCTTACTTAGTTCGCGTACCACCAGCGGTACGTGTACCATAGGTTGAGAAACGCTGCTCTAGCAGACAAATCTGGATTGAGTAGAAATTGTGCAGAGGCAGTGGGCTGGTCACTCACTGCTCATAAATGCACATTTCAAAAAGACTAGGAAACCTCCGAAAAGGAGTTTTCATGAATTTTGTACTTTCAGTGCGATTTGTAAAGATAATGCTGCAATGACTTTTTTGACAAAGAAGTTGTTTATTGTGGTCAACTTTTCAGGTCATGTGAGCTGGTTTTATGATTGTTATAAAATTGTTTTAAGGAGTTTTTGAGTGTAGTAGTCGCAGTTTGCGATGTTAACCCTGTGAAAGAAGCCTTGTGTCTCTTTATGGACTGATTCCCCAGTCCAAAAATTCCACCGCGTTTCTTTAACACTAATTGACTAAAAATTAACGGCGAGTCTAAACTGGTTGGTGTCTAATGCGTGTCTACTCATATGAGCGGAAATAATTAGACGGCAAGCTCAGTCATTGCGTGCTCGTATCGGATGGAATGATAGCTCAGCCGAAGTTACGCTGGTGGCTGGCTGGTAGTTGGATAATGGGACAGAAACTACAGAACAAATGTTATGATTGTTCATTTGCAGAAAGTACAATTTCAAAACTTTGGTTAGGACATGCAAAATACTTTGTCGTGATTCTGCTTTCTGTTTTTCCTGTGTTATAATCAACCACTCTACCACGGATGATCTGTGTTTTGGTTAAAAGGATGTTATAAATGTCTCGCTCATATTATGTACTATGGGTGGCCTAAGTACTGACTCCAACTTCCTCAGAAAATGGGCAGGTCGTGTTCTGTGGTCCTCTTGTTTTATCTCCAAAATTACATGTCGAATATAGAAATTTATATTGAAGTTCTGTCCGAACAGTTGGGTAAAACTTATTTATGTTAATAGTCTAAACCCGTATTTTATATGAAGCTCAACTTATGGGTCTTCTTGATTTAATTCAAGACAATGATCGTGTAAAATACAAATCTGTATGAGTAGATGACATAAAACATTGACCTTATTGAGATCTGTAACTGAAACTCATAGCATATTTTGAAGGGATGAATATTCAGCGAAGTATAAGGAAATTAATTCTGTGATGCGATGTTATAAATGTTGTGTGGTTAAACAAATAGGCTATGAAGGTGAGCTGAAAATCAATACCACCTAATTTATTTTCCATAACGGGCAAAGATATTTCGTTGAAAATTTGGCTAGGGACCCACTGGCGCGACTAGTGTCGCCAATGTACGTCCACTACTGTTTCAGTTTCTCAGTCAGCATTCGGAGAATTCTCCGCGCGTAAAATTTTCGGTATCCGAAGATCAGCAATTATAGCCCTCATTCGATCACGTGAGACGACAATTGCCTGTATGAGATGGTCGTGGCATGCAACACTCATGTGACATGAGAAATGCAAGCAAAATTTTAGTATCGAAGCCTTTGACCTCCTGTATGATGTCGCAACCCAGAGCACAATGCAAAGTCAGAGATGAATGATTGCGTTTGTTTCTTTGCCTGAACTCTGGTTATAATCGACTGTCAAATTGGCCAACCCTGTTTTGGACTTCCGCTGTGTGTGTTTCTAGTTCGCGTGAAAGATGAGAAAACATTTCCTCATTTTTATGTTAGAGGCCTATCATCACCTCCCATCTTCACGTAACGGACTACAGTAATTTGTAACGTACGCCGTTCCGGAACAAGATGACAGGTAGTACGCTGAAGACAATGAAATAAAGTGACACAGTTTTAGAAGCGGCATGATTCACACGTACCCTACCCACTTTCCGAAAAGTAACCAGTCCATTATTCTGATACCGATAATCCAGCAAATGTTTGTGAGTGTGCTTAAAATTTATAAATTGATTTCTTCACGCAGTTGGGAATACCGTTTCATAACCCCATTCTCACTGACAGAGAAAACAAATGTTAATTGTTGGGCATTATCTTGACTCTGCTTCACGAAAGGCTATTAAGGACGCTGGTCTAGAAGTAAACGCAGAGAAAGCTAAGCATATGATTATGTCTCCTCACCAGAATCATAATTTAAAGTAAGCTAATGCAAGATGTTCCAAAGACGCAACGCTGCACTGCTTTTACGCAACTGGTGTGAGAGGCAGGCTAGTAACAATGGTGACCTTGACTCAAGTGTAACGGGGGAGTTTGTTACACAGGATTGGAATTGCCTCTGATATAATTTTTGTACCTATGGACGTGATTGTTGTTTTGTTGTGTATGAAATGCTACATTCTTCGAAAATGTGACAGTCCAAATATCCGCGATCGACGGCAGGAAATCGGAATTACATTCACAAGCTGAAGAGCAGATTAAGTTCTGGGAATACTTGCTAGCATGAAGTTCAGAAACTTTTTCTGCTGTATACTGTCTAGAAATGAAAAAAAAATTATAATATTAAGTACTATAATTGTACCTCTTGTTTCATGTGCATATGAAATTTAGTGTCTCACAGAAGCGATAACGGGTTGCTTCCTGGATTGTTTGGAATTGAGGGATGACTTTGGGAACACAAATATAAAATGTCGTAGGTGGGAAAAATAGGCATGCTCTCATCTGCTGTTAACAAATGTATAGATCTTTTTGTTTTAAATCTTGCGTTATTAGGTTGGTTATGTTGGTACTTTACTCCGGAGAAAGATGGCGAGTTTGAACGGCGGTGTTGTGAAGGTTTGTTTGCAGAAGTGTATTTTCTGGTGTTTCTCTGAAGATTTTACAGTCACCTTTTATCAACATTATCAGTCTGAGATCTGTGTTTTGTTTATTGAAGACAATATGTAACGAAGGCTTTGAAAGTAAGTCACAATTAATGCTAATTGCATGGAGCAGTGTTTCTTGTAGTTTAGGTTAGTGTTTGAAAGTCAAGTGCAGCCAACTTTGGATTCAATGATATGACATGTTCGTGTGCTTGAGTGAACTCTCTACGCGGACCCAATAGCGCAGATTATTTTACTTTTCAGTCGATATGTTCACTTTATAATGCTCAGTCTAATGCTTTCTAACTATGTTATGAAGAAGTTAAGTTTGAACTTGATTGTGTGAATACCTTTTTTTTACTTGTTAATAAGGTGTTACTTTTACTCTTATATTGCTTTGTTTTATCTTTAGCTGTTTTGAGCGTAATATGTTGTTAGTCATGATAAAATTACATGCTATGTAATCTATTGGTAAAGGTAACAGCAGTTTATTAGAAAAATGTAAGTATGTCTTTTTACCCAGGGGCTTGAACAAAAACTGTAGACAATTCAACAATATTTATCAGTTGGTGGTCTTATTCCAACAAGAAGTGAAATTCTTACGAGTATTTTCAAGCACAGAATGCGGAGGCGTGGTGTGTTTATGATAAAATGATAGTATATTTAATCCATAATTATTTGCAAGTTATTTATAAATCGGCAAATGTCATTATTTACTCAGATAATCGGAGACAATTAAAAGTGAGCATCCGAAAAACTTTATTTTTCACTGGTCGGCGTCAAATAAGCTGTCGACCTGTTCTGTAAAATTTTAAAATGGTCCTCCCATTGTCGTCTTGGATGTCCGTGACACTTTTTTCCCATCCATTTAGGCCGACATTAATGGAGCAGACTGTTGATTTCCAGGCATTCTTTGCAAATGTTCTGGTCGTTTATTTTGATAGCTTTTATTAAAATCTTAATATATTATTCCCAGTTGTTCCCAAAAAAATTCTTCGCCTTTATGTTCCCTCATTTCGTATCCTGCAACTGTTTCATTATTTTTTCGTTCGTTAATGTCCAACATTTCAATCTATAAGCATTGCTATTATTGTGAATATTATAATTATCTGTTTCAGGAACTGTATCTTCTTCCATATTCAGGTATACAAGGGGAAGGAGTGAGGAAAGGTTCTTACTCAGTCACTGGTCCAGTGATCGAGACGATAATAGTTCGTGTCACATCACTGTGGCAAACCTTGTAGATTTATTTAAATTCCTATTAAATCATAGGGATTAATGTTATCGTGAATTTGAATGTGGAGACTGGAGACAGTAGAATTGCGTTGCTTTTGTTTGTATTTGAATTGATTTATTGAAGGCGGCTGTTAGTAACTTAGGCTATGTGCATAGCATCAAATAATACGATTATTAGTGAATAATGAGGTTGAAATAATATGGAAATAACCGATTGTGATCTAATTTAAGGTCCTGCCTTTGAATTTGATAATAGGGACGGAGGAAAACCATGAAATCTTTCGGTTAGGATGACTGGTTTACGGGCCGAATTTTGAACTCTCTATCTCCCGAATATGAAGCAGCAGTCCTAACCACAGGCTTCGTAGCGTTATTGCTTTTAATTATTATTATTATTGTCGTTGTATAAACTCCGCGGTAAATCAGGATACTGGCTAAGATGTGATTGGATTACAAGGAATGTTTCTCCCGTGGAGAGGTTTAGAGCATCGTAGATACCCATATTTGTAATACTAGGTCTCATTCTTAAAGTATAGCTTTCAAACATGTCAGCAGGCAGTGCATGATGGACAACGCTTTTCCGAACAGTGCGTCATATTGCTGTGTACACTATGTCAGGATAATCCGTTGGGAGTTGTCTGACGTCACTGTCATGTAGTCCAAGGTTAGTCGGTCACCACTTCCTAGAAGGCAGGTGATTAAACAACAGCAGACCATATGACGGTAATAAAAATGATCCCTGAACAGTAAGAAACCGTGAAACAGACGCATTTATTGCTTAAGAACTTTCCTACTATATTTTAAAAGCCAGGTCTAGCTATTTACCGGTACGTGGAGACAAACTGGCATATTAAATTTCCATTTGGAAAGAGAAAGCTTGTCGAAGCAGCGATTTAAAATGGAACGTGTGTATGAAATTTCAGGTTCTCACGGCTACGAGTATGAATTAGGAAATGAGTTAGCTTCTAACTACATTTGATTTAAAATAATTCAGTAAGTAAATTATATGTGTCCCACATTGTTTTTTAGCATAAATAATTATAATATCTAAAGAGAAGAATTTAAATTACACCTCAGAAAAAGTAATTAATTTAAAATCTTGGCTGAGCTCTGTGCAAACCAATGGTACTCATTATGACCACCACCTAACTCTGGAAGGCTAACAGAAGGTGGTACTCGTTGATAGGTGTCATATAACTATAATTTGGTAGCCACAGGAGATGTTCCTTTGACAAGCTGTTGATACTGTCCTTCTTTGTAGGTGTGTTCTGATATGTTGGATGTGGTACTACATATTCAAGCCCATTGTATTTGGAGAAGCATGAGGAATATTGTCAAGGACTAAAGGGTATCAGGTTAATGCACAGTGGCAGAGAGTTTGGTGTTAAATGCAGTCAAAGCAACAGTATTCATAGTAAGGTACACTGTGGTCAAAAACTGTACCAGTGTAGTGGTCATGACAGTAATCGATCAACCAGCATGAACTATGTTAAACAAATTAATTTAAGCATTAAATGTGATATGTGTCTCATGCACAAATTCTGGTTCCTCCAAATATATTAGAAACAAGTTATGTAAGTGTCATGTTTGTGGTTGGAAGTTTACATTTCAGAGCAGTCTTGTTGTACATATGATGACACATGTGAGAGAAAAATGACATGAATGTGAAAATTGTGGTTGTAAGTTAGCTGGAAGACGTAATCTGTAGGCACACATGAGAAGTCACATGGATGTCAAACCATATGAATGTGAGGATGGTGGTTACAAGTGTTCTAAAATGTCTAATTTGATTAAACACATAGGAATTCACTCTGCAGATAAAATATATAAATGTAAGGAATGTGGTCTTACATATCTTGACAAATCTGAATTAATTACACATGCGAAGGCTTGCTCGACAGAGAAGCCATTGGGAAGTGAGGAGCATTGTTATAAGTTTGTTCCATCAACTTTAAATAAATACGAAATAAGAAATCCCACGGGAGAGGTGCCCTATGAAAGTGAGGAGTGTGGTCACAAGTTTGCTCAAAGATCTGATTTAAATACACATCTGAGAACTCACACGGGAGAGAAGCCGTTTGAATGTAAGGAGTGTGGTCACAAGTTTGCTCAAAGATCTGATTTAAATACACATCTGAGAACTCACACGGGAGAGAAGCCGTTTGAATGTAAGGAATGTGGTCACAAGTTTGCTCAAAGATCTGATTTAAATACACATCTGAGAACTCACACGGGAGAGAAGCCGTTTGAATGTAAGGAGTGTGGTCACAAGTTTGCTCAAAGATCTGTTTTAAAGCAGCATATAAGAGCTCACACGGGAGAGAAGCCGTTTGAATGTAAGGAGTGTGGTCACAAGTTTGCTAGAAAATATGCTTTGAAGTTACATATGAGAACTCACACGGGAGAGAAGCCGTTTGAATGTGAGGAGTGTGGTCACAGGTTTAGTATAAAATCTGTTTTCAATATACATATGAGAACTCACACAGGAGAGAAGCCGTTTGAATGTAAGGAGTGTGGTCACAAGTTTGCTAGAAAAGATAATTTTAAGTTACATATGAGAACTCATGGGAGAGAAGCCGTTTGAATGCGAGGAGTGTGGTCACAAGTTTGTTCGAAGATTTGGTTTAAAGAAGCATATAGGAACTCACGGGAGAGAAGCCGTTTGAATGTAAGGAGTGTTGTCACAAGTTTGTTAAAAAGTCTATTTTAAATGCACATATGACAATCCACACTTGAGCGAAGCCATATGAATGTGAGGAGTGTGGTCACAAGTTTTCTCGAACATGTGATTTGAAATCTCACTTGAGAACTCACAAGGGAGAGAAGCCGTATGAATGTGAGGCGTGCGGTGACAAGTTTGCTCCAAGATCAGTTTTAATACACACATGGCATCACGCACAAGAAGATATATGAATAGAAGAATAATTATCGTAATTTCGTTCAGATATCTGTTATGAATACACAGTATAATAATGTTTATGGGAAAAAAGATTGTGTGAGAAGCATTATAACAAGTGCTTGCATATTGAATCGAATATGCCACAAAGAAATCACACCAAGATTGAAGTTAATAACTGACACAAAATCATCATCCACTTGGAACAATATAAGTGCTGCATAATCTGAAGAAAATTTAAAAGTTGTTGATTATGATTGTGTGTATATTGATGTTACTGTTTGTACAATTCTTTGTCATGATTGTTTACTCATCACTAGAAATCTTTGAAATTTAGAAATTTATTTATTACTTTATATCCATTCTTCTCATTGGTTATTTTTGTTATAAGTGAAGAAAATTGGGGTTTCAGGAACTGTAACTGTAATGCTCAATATAACATATGAATGAAATAGTAGTGTGTGCCTCATTTGATAAAAATTAACATTTGTTCAAGACATATTCCCAGAAGTTTATGCATCTGATACACATAAGAATTATGTGATAAAACAGCTAGTGCTCTCTTGCTTTTCCATTTGTATACAGCATTGCTTTTGTGATACCAATGAAAAATTAGTCCTGTTAGCGGAGCTCTGCCGGACCCGGTCTTTGAAGAGATACCGGGTCATACAGAAACTGAATCGTGCAGAGACCAAGTCCGGCAGAGACGGATCCATCAGAGATAGAGTACGGCAGAGACCGAGTCCGGCAGAAGCCCGGTGAGGCAGAGACGGTGTGGCAGGGATAGTGTGGGGAGAATTTTGAAAAAAAATTCAAAATTTTAAAAAAATAAAAAATGCTGGAAACTATCTAGAAAGCGTACAAAACAAAACATTTTCAAAATATTTGATTTTTTTCAATATTCTCCCTGCCACACCCGGTCTATGCCTCACCCGGTCTCTGCCGGAATCGATCTCTGCCTCACCCGAGCTCTACCGGACCCAGTGTTTGCACAGACTGCCCATCAGATATCGGGCCATACAGAGACAGATTGTGCAGAGACCCTACCGGAACCGATCTCTGACGAACGCGGTCTTTGCAGAGACAGGGTCATAGAGACCGGATTACTCAGAGGCGGGGTATGGCAGAGACCGTTTTGGCACGGATCGGGTGGGGAGAATTTTGAAAAAAAAATCAAATTTTTCGAAATTTTCAAAAAATCAAAAAATGCTGGGAATTGTCCAAAAAGCGCACAAAACAAAAAATCTTCCAAATATTTTTAAAAATTTTGAAGTTGAAATTTTTCAAATTTGTTTGGTTTTATGCGCTTTTTGGTCAATTTGCAACATTTTTTTAAAATTTGAATTTATTTTTCAAAATTCTCCCCAATCATTCCCTGCCAGAACCGGTGTCTGCCGATCCGGTCTTTGCTGAATCCTCTCCCTGACAAACCGGACTTGGTCTCTGCACGATCCGGTCTCTATATGACCCGTTCTTTGACGTCTCTGCAAAGAAAGACTGAAGCAGAGACCGAGTCCGGCAGAGACCAGGTGAGTCAGACACTGAGTCCGGCAGAGACCGAGTATAGCAGACACCGGTTCTGGTAGGCATCAGGTAGGGAGAATTTTGAATTTTTTTAAACATTTTCGAAAAATCAAAAAAGGCTTCAAGTTGTCTAAAAAGCGCACAAGACCAAAAGAATTTGAAATATTTTGAAAATTTTGCAGTTGAAATTTTTCAATTTTTTTTAGTTTGTGCCCTTTATGGACAATTTTCGGCATTTTTTAATTCTTTGAAAAATTCGAATCTTTTTTCAAAATTCTTTCCAACGGATCCCTGCCAGAACCGATGTCTGCCGATCCGGTCTCTGAAGGAGGCGGGCTCTGCCGGACTCGGTTTCTGCACGATTCGGTCTCTGTATGACGCGATCTCTACAGGCCGTCTCTGCAAAGAAAGAGTGAGGCAGAGACCGAGTCCAACAGAGCACGAGTGAGGCAGAGACCAGGTGGGCACAAACCGAGTCCGGCAGAGAACGTGTGAGGCACAAACCGATTCACGCGGGGACCGAGTGTGGCTGATACCGAATGTGACAGACTATTTCTTGTAGGGATCGGGTAGGGAAAATTTTAAAGAAATTTGAAATTTTTCAAAATTTTCAAAAAATCAAAGAATGCTACGAATTGTCTAACATGCGAACAAAACCAAAAATTTTCCAAATTTTGTGAAAATATTTGGAGGATGGAATTTTCCAATTTTTATGTGCTTTTTCGACAATTTCCAGAATTTCTGATTTTTTGTCAGTTTTGTAAAATTTGATTTTTTTTTTTTTTTTTTTTAGGTCTGACCCCAAAGACGAAAAATAATGGACGATGAATTGAAACAAAAACGGGCGAAATTAATTCGGTCTATTCCGTACCTTGTCTCTGACGCACACGGTCTCTGTATGACACGGTCTCTACGGGCCGTCTCTGCAAAGACCACGTGATGTAGAGACCGGGTGGGTTACAGACCGAGTCCGGAAGAGAACATGTGGGCCAGAGACCGAGTCCTGCAAGGACAGGGAGAGGCGCAGATAATTCAGGCGGAGAACGAGCCTGGCAGATACCATATGTGGCAGAAACTATTTCTGGTAGGGATCGAGTAGGGTCAATTTTGAAAAAAAAAAATGAATTTTTCAAAACTTTCGAAAAATAAAAAAATGCTGCAAATTAACTAAAAAGCGCACAAAACGCAAAATTTTCGAAATATTTGAAAAAATTTAAGATGAAATTTGTCAATTTTTTGGTTTTGTGCGCTTTTTGGACAATTTCCAGCATTTTTTGATTTTTTGTAAATGTTTAAAAATTTGAAAAAAATTCTCAAAATTCTCCCCACCCGTACCCTACCGGAACTGGTCTCTGCTGGACCTGGTATCTACCGTTCCTTGACTCTGAAGCACATGATCTCTGCACGATACGGTAACTGTATGTCGCGGTCTCTGCGGGCCGTCTCTGCAAAGACCGGGTGAGGCAGGGACCGAGTCCGACAGAGCCCGTGTGTGGCAGAGAACAGGGGACGATGTCTTACGCTTGCGCAGGACTCCGACCTTAGCTTTTTGGTTGGTTGGTTGGTTGGGGGCATAGATCGAGTCCAGCAGAGAACGTGTGGTCCAGAGACCGAGTCCTGCAGAGACCGAATATGGCAGAGACTATTTCGGGGAGGGAAAATGTTGAAAGCAATTTGAAATTTTTCAAAATTTTCGAAAAACCTTAGCTTTTTGGTTGGTTGGTTGGTTGGGGGCATAGATCGAGTCCAGCAGAGAACGTGTGGTCCAGAGACCGAGTCCTGCAGAGACCGAATATGGCAGAGACTATTTCGGGGAGGGAAAATGTTGAAAGCAATTTGAAATTTTTCAAAATTTTCGAAAAATCAAAAGATGCTGCAAATTGACTAAAAAGCACACAAAACACAAATTTTCGAAATATTTGAAAATTTTTTGAAGATGATTTTTTTCAAATTTTATGCTAGGACACAACGTTTGTTAAAACTGTAAAACGATCTGTTTCATTTTGGCCTCTTCATTTCTGGGTTGAGACGCCATATCGTCTTGTAGGTGATTACCAACGTTTTGGAGGAACGGATCGCACCCATTTTCTTGGTATAAGTCACAAGTTTGAATATCACAATCAAGATTTTCACTACAGTGAAGAACTCACATCTTCCAAGCATTTTAATTATTTAAGTGAGTTTATTTTAACAATAGCCCGGGCGAAGAATGGTACTTCAGCCAATTATTTATAAAAGTTGTAAAATATATTGATACTCTTCCATCGGAATTTAGGGTGTAATTAGCTTGTTGAAGGAGCTCTTGGGTCAGGAAAGAGGCACTTATAAATGTACACGCGGAAGCAGGAAAAATTTCACCTTGCCCTTATGAACAAAATGTCCAGTTGGTGACGTCAGAGCTCACTAGACCTTGCAGAGTGCCCGATAGGTCGCCATGCTGATATAATACTTTTAAGGTCGTCAGGTGGAACCATTAACACGGCCTCTGCGTTCCATGTCCCGTCCGCACGCTGATTTAGTGAAAAATACCAACGTTTCACACATGAGAGTCGGGTTGACCGTGTAACAAAACGAGACGACTTATGTTTGTACAATATAACGCGATTTACAGACCGGGAAATTTTCGTTTTAACCTAAGTCCCCGCTAGAGCACGCCTCAATTAATTCTCTAAAAACTCGGAGTTGGATCATGATGGTTTTTATCTGATACGTTCTGCTGTGTTCTCGATATCTCGTTTGCTGTGTCGGTAATGTGTTAGCCGGGCTAACGGCTGAAATTACGTATACCAATCACGGCGTACTAATTTTATATTTCTGTTTTAGAGCTCTCGTTTAGTTACGTGATCAAAATCCTTTTACCAAGATTCCCACTGATGAATTTTGCTGAGGCTGGTAGACTTCCCATGATGAAATGTAATTTTCAATTTGGATTTTAGAGCTCCCACCATGTTCACTTTCTGGCAGGTGGACAGAAAATCTTCCACAAAAGACGTTCTGTTCCCGGGGCTACCCATACTTGGAACGAACGTTTGTGTGTTTTGTTCGACCCGCGTACATTTTTGTAATATTGTCGTTCCGTATGATGAAAAATGGTTAGGTAAAGTTGGTAAAACAAAACATTTGTCGTCAAAGTCAGTATTTAGCAGAACTAGAACACGTGTTGCAGATAACACAGAGGTATACGTACTATGCAGCATGTAAAGTGTGTGTTAGAAGTTACGTTATCTACGTGGACTAATTATATTTGATCAACTGTGTCGCAACTTGCATGATAGCTCAGTCTGACCAACTGTACAACAGTTCAACATCTGCAAGGAAACAGCTCGTATTAAAACAAAGTTATGTCGAAGCGTTACAAACGTGGAAAAGTTGCATTAATATGTCTTACTGTGACATACCACAGTTTCAAGGTGGGGTTAAAGGTCATACTTTTTATTATTTTGTATTGCTGTTTGTTTTGCATAGTGCGTCTCATTCTTACTGGTATGCAAATCAATTTATGCTACATAAATGGTTACAGTCGATCATACTTACCTTGAATATCAACGCATTTGGAAATTCTGTGGGATTAATAATATTTATTATATGAAAAATATTCGTACATGCTGAGAATCACCATATTCAAGGACGCCTGTTCTGGCCTCGTCGAGTTGTAGCTCTAGCGTTAATATTCAATAGAAAAACATGTGGAAGGATACACAATAATTGGAGGAAGAGGTAAAACCAGGAACTGATATGATGATGCAGGAGTTCGAATCCCGGGAAGAATATTCCTTATTGCTACTGTCTATGTATAGCCATCGGAACTGCTCTGGGTTCACTCTGACGATTGTTCAGCGAAAACAGAGAATGAAATTGGCTTCAACTGGCAGGTTAGCGTAGCGCTGTGAGTCCGGAAGGTACCAAATTCGAATCTTGACCTGGTTAT